TCCGGGGGCCCCCCCCCCCCCCCCCCCCCTGAGGTTTTGGTCCAATACCCCTTTCCCACCACAACCCCTCCCTTCCCTGTACAGTCAATAAACACACCTGTTCTGATTTCAACATAATGAACATTTTATTTATCTTTCAATTAAAAAAAAGCTGGGGGGCTGAGAACTTGGAGGAAGAAGGGGGACTCAGGGTCGGGAGTGGTGTGGGGACCTCAGCAAACTTGGGGTTGGGTGGGTCCTGGGATCACAGGGGAGGCGGGGAACAGGGGGCTGGAGCAGGGGCCATAGGCATAGCAGGGAGACAGGGAATGGGCATGGGGGGGGGGTGTGGAAACGGAGGCAGGGACAGCAGCTGGCTATGCCATTTCACACATGATAGAATGTAAATTGCCCTGCCACATGAGCTGGTCCCACATGTGGGTCCTTCCGGACCTTCCATGCCAGGGTTTGCTGCATGTCTCTCAAGATACCCACATGCTGCTGCCTCAGGTCGTCTTGGACCCTGGAGCATTTTTGGGTCCCCCAGTCATGGCTGGTCCCTCTGTGGAAAATAAAAGGCGAGGTAGGGTCAGCAGCAACAGGCCTCAGAGTAGAGGATGGAGATGTCCCAGGAGCAAGGCCAAGTATGGCCTACACAGCAGGCCCTGCCTCTCAGGGGCCCCAAGGTGCCCATGCTGTCTGCTTCCCCCCACCCATGGACAAACTGGCTAGGGAAGTGTCTGGCCACAGTGGGATCCCATGGGCAGGAGAGGGGTCTGGAGCAGCTTGGCCCTCCCTAGGGCCCCCACACACACCTGCACCTGGCAGTGCTGTCTGCTGAAGCGGGTGGTACTTCACATGGGTAAGCATGTGTATGGGCTTGTGCGTGTGCCCTTGTGTCCAGCCTGCTTCCAGCAGTGGCTGGGGGGGAGAGGGTCCCCTGCCTCCACAGGGCCAGATGTGTGTGTGACCTCCCCAGAGCTTGTGAGCAGGATCCCAGGAGTTTTCAGGGGCTGTCTCCTGAGGTGGCATAGCTGTGACGGCATGTCCGGATTTTCCCATCTCCTGCACCCCCATAATGGCACGGACAGACTCCACCAGCCAGTAGAATAGAGGAAGTTTATTGTTTCTCCAGGATACAGCACAGATGTAATCTGGTTACAGTGCAGGCCTAGGATGCCTCAGCCCACCTTGAGATGGGGGAGACTGGGCGCCTAAATCCCAGCCCCTTTCCCTAGGCTGTCTCCTCCATGGTCCCAGACAGAAACTGACTCACTCTTCCAGCCCTGCCCCCAGCTAGGGCTCCACTCCGCCTTCTTCCCATTGTTCCGCTCCCTGGGAGATAGCTGGTCAGATAGGTTTGGAGCCCCCTTGCATAATGACTCATCCCCTGCCCTGCTGGGCCATGCTACAGACAGCAGCCAGTGAATGCGCGGGGGATTTAAATATCCCCCGCGGCATTTAAATAAAAATGTCCGCCGCTTTTTTCCGGCTTTTAAAAAAGCCGGAAAAGAGCGTCTACACTGGCCCCGATCCTCCGGAAAAAGCGCCCTTTGAAGTAGGAATAAGAGCCCCCGGAAAAGGGTGCTTTTTCCGGAGGATTGGGGCCAGTGTAGACGCTCTTTTCCGGCTTTTTTAAAAGCCGGAAAAAAGCGGCGGACATTTTTATTTAAATGCCGCGGGGGATATTTAAATCCCCCGCGCATTTCCCTACTACGACTCATGAAATTTACATGCCCCTTCCGGAAAAGGGGCCAGTGTAGACGAGCCCTTTGTGTATGGAAAACAGAATACTCACCAGATGATCCCTCCGTAGACGCTCTTTTCCGGCTTTTTTAAAAGCCGGAAAAAAGCGGCGGACATTTTTATTTAAATGCCGCGGGGGATATTTAAATCCCCCGCGCATTTCCCTACTACGACTCATGAAATTTACATGCCCCTTCCGGAAAAGGGGCCAGTGTAGACGAGCCCTTTGTGTATGGAAAACAGAATACTCACCAGATGATCCCTCCCTGCCACCAGAGGACGCCTGAGACACATCCTGACTCAGGGGTACTGACACCAGGCTCAGCATCATATTACTCAGTGTCCTCCTCCTCCTCCACAATCTCCAGGCGGGTTATATCAGGCATCTCAAGGTGGGAGTCAACCATCACAGATGGGGAAAGGGCTTCCCACCCCTCAGGATCTGGTGCAGCTCCTCATAATAGGGGCAGGAATGGGGTCCTGCCCCGAACCATTAGCTGCACTCATTGGCCCTCGCATAGCCCTAGGGGAGCTCCTTTACTTTACTCCAGACCTGTTCTAAGATCTGGGGAAGGGGGTGTTCCCGATCTGCCAGGACCTTGGTCATGCGTCCATAGATTTTGGCATTTTGGTGTCAAGCAGAGATCCTGTAGGTTTTCCCCCGCCCAACTCCAGGAGGGACAGGATCTACACTCCAGACCAGGAGGGTGCTTGCTGCTTGGTACCCTTGGTGCTGCTCCCTGTGAGGTCCACGGAGGTCGTGGGGGGTGGTGGTGAGGGGGGGCTTGTGGCTCAGCCATAGCTCCAAGTGCAGGTGGCAGGGAGAGCCACACCATGAGATGCTGCTCCAGGGCTGGCTTCCTGCTTCAAGAGGTGCCAGGAGACAGGAACTATAGAGTTCTGATTACTTTGGACAGAGTGGCGACCAGGAACTGTGTTATTTCCTGGAGGCCTCTTCTTTCCAAAGAACATCCACACATGCCTTTTTCATAAAGAGCTCTTTCGGACAAAGGCTCCTTCCTCGTAGAAAGAGGTTTACCCCTGTCGAAAGAACACGATTGCAGTGTGGATGTAAGTGAAGTTTTTTCAGAAAAATGGCAATTTTTCCAAAAAAATCTCTACAGACAATGTTGGTAAGATAATGTCACTCAAACTTCCAAAAGTAATTCAGTAGGATTTTTTCTGAGCTGCTGGCTAATGCTGTAAGAGAGTACCTGATCAAAATTTAAAGATCTACTGAAGGGATGGATGGTAGTTACTGCCAACTACAAAAGAAAAAAAACCTAATTTTTTATTTTATCAAAAGAACCTATAGCAAACGTATTGCCATTACACAAAAGATGTCACATCCTACGACAAAGTAATGTTCCTGAGGTTATAAACAAGCACATAGCCCCAATACACAATGGTAATAACCAAAGAGTTGGTATAAATGAGAACTTAAATCCACAATAGCATTTGCATGGTGATGATCCTGCAGCGTTTTTAGTTTTGCTACTTTAAAACCAGCCAGAAAACAGTTGATAGGTTACTAGTACCCAAGTGCTATTCACATAGGTATAGTGATAGCCATGGTAACACCAACAAACAATATCAGAAAAAGCTAAAGGGAGGGAAACCCAGGCTTGCTATGAAACTGAAAATTGTCACATTTTAAAAGACTATCAAATTGAAAAAACCTGACCCATTTAGCAAAGGCAAACTGAAAATCATGGTAAACAGGTAAATACACAACATGGTTTGAGGTCCTAAATTAGTAACAGGATACAGCAGTAGACTTAGTATCTAGTAATTTCCTGTTACCTGCTAAGATTCAAATTCAGAGTCCTGTGTTTGAAATGCAGGAGAGAGAACACAGCCCCTGAAGAATAGCAGTGGTCATTATGTACTGGCGATACATACTGACTTCATCTACTTAAAATGTAGATATTTGTAACTGAATCATGATTGGGGCTAAAAAGGAAAGAGCAGAACAGCCAACCAAGGTGTCTGAGGCCTTTCATGTGTAATGCAGAGAGGGAGTTTGGGGGAAGCCCTGTGGAGAGGAGCAAATGGATGCCGTGAATAGGGAGTCAAGGTAAAGGGTGTTGAAGGTTCACTCTTTCAATCCAAAGCCTAGAGCAGCAGCCAGAGGGTTGCAGCTGAGTTGTTTCTGTAGTTCTACAACTTGTTCCTGGGGGAATAGTGGAGGGAATCAAGAATTACTTGGACAGAGTGAAAGGAAATGCCTCAAACATTTTTTATGTTAAAAAAGGCATTTACTTTCCCTTGAGATTTATAAAATACTGATGTGGGAGATACCCGACTAATTCTATAATAATACCTTTAAAATGACTAGATGCAGTAGTTTCACTCAAGAAGGGACTCTAGGGAGCATGGTATTGTTAGATATAATTAAACCTAGACAATAAGTTTCCTGTTCATTAAACTATATAAAACTCTGCTTGTAAACTGAAAAGTTTATACTTTTAAAGTAGATACCTAGCTTTGTGCTTTGCTAAGTAGCCCCAAATGTGTATGCCCAATCAAAAAATTATTGATAAACTATGGTGTACAAAATTTCAGTATCCTATACAAAGCCAGTTCTCCAGTTCAAGTACATTTGTGCTTTTAAATTAACAAATGAGTGTCTTTCAAAAACTCTCCTTGCTGTGCCAATAACTAACACGAAATTTAAGGCATATTTAATAAACCACATAGATAATTATATGCTGAATAATTGATCTCAATCAGCCAAGCCAACAGCAGCATCTCTTATAAAAGTATATACCTGACCTCATAATATACAGCAAAAAGTCTATTGAGGAGCTACAGTTATGCTTGATCCTCTTAAAGATACATCACTTTCTAGAAATAGGCAATGTTTACAATCAATGAGAAATTAAGTATTGATTTTTTGACCATGGAGTACAGTTAGTTTGTGGTTCCACCCATACTCTACAACTATATTAACTGCTGTTGTATGCTTCTCTGAAGTCAAGAACAATTTAGCATACATTACCACATTTTCAATAATCTTCAAAAATATTAGATACTTAACAGAAAAATATTCAAAAAGCTGAAGAACAATAAGTTTTTCAGCGTTTTACATTCAAGATTCAAAGAACATCTCACTACTGTCTACAGCAAATGGGGCAAATTCACCCTTTATGTAACTTCACTGAAGTTTGTTATTACAACGGGAAAAAATGGCTTAATTCTACCATTAGATAGGTAGAAAAAAATTCACAATATGTAAAAGTTTGTAACATAAGACAGCTGTTGATTCAATTACATTCCCAGGATACAGTTATATGGCATAAATTTAAGTATTTTAATGCACTAAGTTCATGAAAGAAATATTAGAGAAATTTCTCAATTCCTGTCTATTGCCTTTCAAACTTTAACCAGTTGTTTCAGTGATAACTACCAAATCTTGTATCCAGCAGCTGCTAACACTATCAGTCTGCCTGTGTGAAGTTCCATTGACATAAGAACTAGTTGCGGTTTTTTAAGTGAGTTTATGCCTATGAACTTCCATACCTACGCAGAATTTAATGGCGGGACAGTCCAACGGAGGATCAGGGCCCAAAGTTTCACTATTACCTCTGGAAACTAAGAAAAATGATACATCCACTATGATTTCTAGTACATCAGTGGTAGTGGATTTCCATTTTATAGGGCTCAAGACATGGAACACCCTCGTATTGAAATCAGCTTGTTGTAGGACTAGGAGTCATACACAGACTTGAATATTCAACTTTGACTTCACATTAACACGCACCTCCATCATCTCCTAAACCACAGTGTGCAAATAATTCTAAGGAGATCTAGTTTTTAATCCATGTAGCCAGTCTGCATACTTCAGAGCAGCTGTAATATCAGATCTCTTTGGCTAATGACATTTTCAAATACAAATATAATGCTTTGCTTTCATTATATTGACTCATATGTAAAAATACTGCAATTCGTACGTATAAGTGAACTAGAACAATAGTCTTCCTGAAATAAATTATTTCAATTTTTCTTTTTTTAATGTATTTGCAACTTTGGCTACTGAATTCAGTTGAGGTACCCTCTGCAACACACAGCTCCACATTTGCACACAGTTCTGATCCTCTTTCTTGCTGGGCTGACAGCATCGGAGTCTGAAGTCACATCTAGAGATCCTAAAATGAAGCAGAATTGAAGGCTGTTGGAAATAGGCATTGTTATTGTGCTTGGAACTGTGCAAGTAAGAAAAAAGATAGCCTCTGCCACAAAAACTTATAATTTAAAATCCCAGTTCCACAAAGACTTATGAATGTATTTTGACACACTTGTGAAGCTAAAAAGTTAAGTGTTAGTATAAGTCTTTGAAAAGTTGTTACCTAAAATTATTTACTAGTAGCTGAAAGATCATGCTGTTCCATAGGTGAAATTCATGCAGTCTAAATGACTGACAATTTACAAATTGGACAGTAACACTCCATGGATCCCAGTGATGCTGACAAGTGAACCTGGTAACATTCTTAATGAAAAGTTCTCAGCCAGGTTTTTATCTGTTGGTGGAGTCAGTGTGAAGCAATCAAAGTGACAGTCCTGGAACCTTATTGTACCTATCATTGTGGATCGGCTATGAAATCCAGTCATGGATGAGGCCCCCACTCTGCTAGGGCTGCACAAACACAGACTAAGCTTGAAATCTAAAGTACAAAACACAAAAAAAGGTGGATCTAGAAAAAGACAGATAAAGGAGCAAAAAAGGAGAGAACAGCAGTGAGGGCTAGGGATGTAAAATCCCATTTGATTGCCTAAACATGGTTTAACCGATTGGGGGAGGGACACACTTTGGGCTGGAACAACCCCACCTCCGCTGTGGACAAGATCTGCTCCAGTCAGCTGGCCAGAGCAGCCCCCACCTGCAGCAGTGGGAGAGGTTGGGCCTGCTCTGTGGGGCTGAAGCAACCCCCTACCTTCAGTGGATAGGAAGCGGCTCCAGCCCCTACCAGTTAGTTAACTAGGAGTGGTAAGACTCACCCGTTTTTTCATGATCGTGGAAAAAAACCCATTAAATCTGGTCTCCCTTGTGAAATCTGGTCTTTTTTGTACTTTTACCCTATACTATGTTACACAGGGAAAACCAGTTTTTCAAACAAAGTCCCTACCCAAAAAATCATAGGGGAGGGGTCACAGTATTGCCATCCTTAATTCTGCGCTGCCTTCAGAGTTAGATGGCCAGAGAGCTGTGGCTGCTGGCCAGATGCTCAGTTCTGAAGACTGCACCTCACCAGCAGTAGCGCAGAAGTAATACCCTATTTCTGCTGCGCTACTTTCAGAGCTGCGCAACTGGAGAGTAACGGCTGCTAACTAAGGGCCCAGCTTTGAAAGCAGCAGCATAGAGTGCTAATACCAAAGCATGCCATCCTTACTTCTGGCTGCTGTTAGCTGTGGCACTGTCTTTAGAGATGGGTTCCTGACAGCTGTTCTCTAACCACTCAGTTTAGAAGGCAATGCTGTTGCCAGCAGCAGCACAGAATTAAGGGTGGCAATGCCCTTGCAAACTCCCCTCCCTTCCCCAAACTCCTTTGGGTCCAGACCCCTACAGTTACTAAATTGAAAAAAATTCAGATTTAAATATCTGAAATTAAATCTACTATTTTTAGATCCTATATCCATGAAATTTACCAAAACAGACCATGCCGATGCTCAACCATTGTGTTTGAATAGCAAAGGGAAGTTTTAAGAAAAGATTTGGAGGAGGACAATCAGGTAGCTTTGTGGATATTTCAGGGAACGTCTCCCACGCATGAGGCAGAGCATAAGAGAAGCACAAGGTCCTTGTTCGAAAATTAGACACATCTTTGACAAATCGGGGTAAGAATTGATACGTTGCTAGTGAATGTTTGTAGGCAGGACGGGGAGTGGGAGGAGGGGGGCGACAGAGTGTGGTAATTTGCAGGAAAACACAATCTCCTGTTGGTTTGTCAGAATTTCAGCAAAGTAAGTAAAGCAAAGCTCTCTTTTTTCTCTCTAAAGATAAAAAAAGTTTTTCCTGCCAGGTGACAAAATGACATCATGTCATCACTGTCAACAAGCTCTCTCAGCAAACACCCCTCTCCCTCTGGCCTAGCGCCTTCTCGCCCCCCACTCTTGTTTAACTGTGACATAGTGGGGGGGTACCTTGCTGGTTGCTATGCTGGGCAGTGGGTCGTGAGTGACCTCCACTGGCTGCTGTCTGTAGCAAGGCCCAGCAGGGCAGGGGATGAGTCATTATGCAAAGAGGGTCTCTCAACCTGTCCGACCAGTTACCCTCCAGGGAGAGAAACAAAGGAAGGTGGAAGCCTCTGGCTGGGGGGCAGGGCTGGAAGAGAGTTAGTTTTTGTCTGGGATTATGGAGGAGACAGCCTAGGGAAGGGGCTAGAATTTAGGAGCCCAGACTCCCCCATCTCAAGGGGTGCTGAGGCATCCTAGGCCCAGTTCCTGTAACCAGATGACATCTGTGCTGTGCTGTATCCTGGAGAAGCAATAAACTCCCTCTATTCTACTGGCTGGTGGAGTCTGTCCGTGCCACTACAGGGGTGCAGGAGATGGGAAAAACCCCAACGCGCCATCACAACCTCCAGACAGGGCACCTCACTAGCCACTCCAGGGAGCTCCTCTGGCCCTTACATCGCTCCCCCATGGGGGAGGGTCATCTTAGGGCATTACCAGCTCCTGCCCCTACCCCAGGTCCCGGTCCCCTTCCACCCTGACTGGCTTTTTCCCCCACAGCCCTACCGGCTACAGCCCCTCATACAGCGCCATGTTTCCACTGACGCCAGCCAGACGGGCTTGCATGCACGGGCCCATGGGAGCCATAGTTCTACAGCTTCACCCTGCTCGGAACTATTCCTGGAAGCCATTTTTGTTAAGGGAATCTGGACTGGTTCAGAGTGCTGAAGCTAAGCAGCCATTTCGCTTTAGGGCAGAGTATCTGGAGCCCGACTGTCGGGTGGCCATTTTGGTTAAGGTCAGGGATCTAGGGGAACATCTTGACTTAGGGCTGAAGTTGGGCAGGAAGGCCAACGGTAGCTAAGGGCTGAAGCAAGGTAGCCATCTTTGCTCTAGGCACACTGCATTGTGCGGGGGAGCTGCAGGAATAAGGTAGCAGCAGGGACTGGCAGGTGCAATGGGTGGGGGAGCACAACAGGAACTGTGCATAGGGAGAGGTTGTCAGGGAGCAGCACATGGAGTATGCTACAGGATCCAGGAATGGGGAGGGGCTATGAGCACAAAGAGTTGGGGGGGGCCGAGCTGCAGAGGCCAGACATGGGGAGAGGTTAAGGGGGCAGAGGGCTGGGGGTGCTGCCAGGGCTGGGCATGGGAAAGCACAATGCAGGGGGCAGGGAGTGTAGCAGGGACAAGAGCAGGCACAGGTGGGGCCGGCACAGTGAAGCAAGTGGGGAGCACTGCCCAGTCATGGGGAGGGACAGAGGAGGAGCAGTCAGCAGGTATACTGCAGGGACCAGCCATGGGCTGGTAAGGGGCAGAGGGTACTGAATGGGCTGGGCACACAGAGAGGTTGTCAGGGTACAGCAGGCTGGGTGTTCTGCAGCGACTGGGAAGGGTACAGGGAGGGGCTGGTGGAGCGTAGTGAGTGGGGGGGCACTGAATGGGCTGGGCTGGCGGGTGGAGGGGCTGGGCATGAGGAGAGGCTGTCAGGGCATAGCAGGTGAGAGGCACTGCAGGGGTCAGGCATGGGGAGGGCCTGTCGGGCACAGAGGTAGGGCTGTTTTTGGATGTATGTTTATTATTTTGAGGGTGTTTTTGGTTTATTATTTTGTTTTGTTATGTTAAGTTTGATTTGATTATGAATATTTTGTATTAATTGATAAATGTGTGGGGTTTTTAGGGTTTTGGGTTGTTAATCTGTTTTTTCTCTCTCTCTCTCTCTCTCTCTCAAAAGTTTTTCCTACCATGTGACAGAGTGTCATCACATTACCAGTGTCAACAAGCTCTCTCAGTGTAGTGAGCAGGGGGCTCAGCTCCCTATTAATTAAATATTCAAATTTAAACAAGAGCTAGAGATTTGATGTCTATTATAAAAGGAAATATTTTACACGGTTTAAGCAAGATTGTGACTGAATTCCCATTATATATAATTAATTAACCTTTTTGGTTTTAAGTAGCACGAGGGAATCCTTCTCTCTTGTGAAAACCAAGGAAAATAGTCATATGCAGGGCTCTAATCTACTGTATTTAATATACTGTTATGTGCATGTACTTTAAATCTGCCCTGCAGAGGTTACTGACTGAATTAAATGGAAGCTGCATACAGCCTCTTAGCTGGAAGGAAGTGGTGGTAGAAGAAGGGGGGGGGGTGCCAAAGACAACACTTTGATTTCAGCAAACCAATGCTGAAAATTGATCAGGCTACAACAAAACCAGCTAGTGCCACCCTGCACATAAAGATTTACACTCTACAAACCTTTCATCTGATAATCAAAGGTGAGCTCTTCTCCAGCCTTGATGGTTCTTGTAGAAAACAGCGCTATCCGAGGAAGACGTAGATCAAGATTGTCAATAAAAACATTGAAGACCTGAAGATTTGGATCACACTGTAAAGCAAAGTTATAAATTTGTGATTCAGGTGTACATTTGCTATCAAAACAGAATTTCAAACACAGTGTAGTATACATTACTAGTGAGAAGAAAGTGAAGACTGAGTCTCCCTATCAGTTATAAAGGCAAAAATCAGAAGTAACTCCACTGAAAGTCAACAGAACAACACACCTGTTGAAACATCACTATTATATGAATGCAAGGACCTGTTAAGCAACAACACTGACACTATGGCTGGTGAGAAAGGTAGTACCTTAAACTGAACTAACTTCTCTTTTGAAAGAGAGACAAGCTTTTGAGCTACACAGAGCTCTTCCTCAAGTATAGCACACAAAGACATTATAACTGATTATTTAAAAAAGTAAAGTTACAGCTTGAAAATGATTGCAACAGTTTTGATTCACCCATTCCTCTGTACTAATTTTTTAAAAAGGCACTCAAAAGTAAGTTCAGACAAAAAAGATGACAAAGAGGGAGAGCAATCTTAAGCCTCAGGCCAGACATACTAACTGTAGGTAACTCAGACCTCAGTTTTGCTTCCAAGGGCAGAAATATTATCCTGGTGTGTGTGGGGGGGAGGGGTTTTGCTCACGAAAGCTTATGCCCAAATAAATGTTAATCTTTAAGGTGCCAAAGGACTCATTATTTTTGCAGACACAGGCTAACATGACTACTTACAATATACAAACTATAGAATTTTCAAAAGTAAAACAGGACTATGCTCCTAAGTCAGCTAGGTGTTTTTGAAAATTCTACTAGGTCTTTTGCCTTTGGACAGAATACTTAGTCCCATATATATATTTTAAAAGTATGCCTATAGTCAGCCTCCAAAATTCATATTTAAAATACAGCATCCCAATTTTCAGAAGTGCTGATCATCCAGCAATATTTAGAAACACATAACTTCCCTCTCTCCAAATCACTTTCACAAATGTAGGGCTAGGATCTTCAGGCACACAGAAAAAAGGAAACAGGAGAACTACAGTAGTTATTGCAATTATGGCATTTTACAAACATCAAATCAGAAAGTAATGCAGTAATTTCTAAAACTAAAAAAAACCCATGCAATTCCATGCATAGGAAGGCCTGGTCGGTTCAATTAAGTCTTTTGTATTAGGTACTTTCAGTTTAAGAAAAACTATTTTTAAGAACAATTTCAAGGTGCTCAGTGAGTTTAAACATAGTGCTGAGGAAAGAAGGAAATCTGCTATGGAAAAGGCAGGAATTTTCCTTCTGTCCATTACTTACAACTGAAACAAAACCATATTCAGACATTCTCCTCCTCTTCCTACATTTCACAATGACTGTTCATATAATATTAATCAATAGCCAAATGTTAAATTATGCATTTATTTCCCATGCTGCTGGTATTTAATTATCTGAAGAGAAAATGTTGTTTTGGGCATCTGGAAACAAGTACAGGTTGAACCTCCCAAATCCCCAACTCTCTGGTCTGGTAACATGTGTTGCTGGACCAAAGAGCCCTGGAGGCAGGAGCAATGCAGGCGCTGGGGATCCCTGGCTGGGACCGGTGGCATCAGGGGAGCCCTGCCTGCCCTGGCCAAGGAACTCCCAGCCTTAGCAGAGCAGCCCTGTCCCCAGCTGGGACACCTCCAGCATCAGCTGGGACACAACCTTGGAGTCCTGGCTCCAGCCATGGAATCACCAGTTGCAGTGGGGCATCCAGCAGCCATGGCCAGAAACCACCAGTATCGGGGGGCCAGGATGTCTGGGCAGCCTCTGCCAGGGATCCCCTCTACCTGAAGTGGGCAGCTGGAATCCCCAAGGGCAGCAGGGCAACCCTAGCAGCTGGGAAACCCCTGGTGCAGCAGGGCCAGTGGCAGCCAGGTAGCCCCAGCTGGGAAGTCAGGGAACACTCTGTGGCAGTGGAACCGGCAGCAGCCAAGGGTCCCACTGGGAATCTTGGGAGACCCTGGGGCAGCAGGTTGAAGAGCCCGTGCCAGAGCTCAGGAGCAGTGCTGCAAGCAGGGGAGCACGGACTTACCCTGGTCTGGCAAATTCCCTGGTTTGGGACAGCTCAGGGCCCAAGAGTTCTGGACAAGGGAGATCCTATCTGAACTGAATACACTGGAAATACAGATTATGATCCCAACTCTGTTATCTGATCTATTTAGCAAGCCCTTGGTCCCTGGCTGAGTTCTCGTGAGGTCAGTGGGTGTCTGCTTCTAGATCAGAATGTAGGATCAGGATCACAAATCATGTATTGTACATGTTAATGAAAATCTCCAATTCAGAGAGAAAATGCTGACTTTCCTCTTACTAATTCTGAACAAGAAAGAATAAGGAATAGTGAAAACTCTTAGTTTTATTTCCACAAGTAAAGCAAAATAGCTATTTAAAGTGATGTCTAGTAGAGTGAGCCTATTGATTAAAAATACCTTGCACATCCAATGTTTGAGAAAACTAAGGGATAATTATATTAGATGTAAGCTATTTTATACTGTTTGCTTCAAATAAGGTATATATATCAGTATTTCATCCTTCCTACATGATTGATAATTTTATGTTGCATGTCTAAAACAATGCCGTTCTTGCAGCATCCAAGAAAAAAGCATTAATAAAAATTAGGATTGTGAGGGCTTGTGGGACTTTTTGACTTTCATGCGCTCTGTCCATTTTAGGATCCCTCACTTTCATGGTTTCATAGAAAAACACTTTAATTTAGGTTTGATAAAAAGTTTTCTGAAAGTTATGTATTTGATAAAGATATTTACAAAAGGCATTCTTGGTATAAGCCAGGACAATTCTTCAACACAAAAAAGCCCTTACGCTGTGATTCACAAAATGGGACACATTTCCATATCGAGCTGCATCCACTGTATATTCATCTGAGTCATAATCCAGGTCAAATAAGTACGTATTTCCTTGGTTGTCATACAGCTGACCTCGTCTCTCTGCTTCCTCGCTTGTGATCACCTAAAAAAAGAAACCTGCATCATATTATTAACTGTCACTGAACTGAAACAAAGCCACAGAAGAAGGGTTGGGTTTTTTTTTCAAACTTTTACATTTTCATAAACAGATGTAGGGAGACTTCTCTTTAAGAAGAAAGGAAGGTTGCAATGCGTCTAAGGAATACTTGAACATAATTATTTGACTAATTACTGACTGTTCCTAATGCCTGATTAAAAGATAGCAATGGTATTTTCTCTTCAAGCAATATAATATTTGACAACCTTCTTGGATATGTATTTATAAAGTGATGTTCCCATTGCTTTCTATACAATGCAGAATACAACAAATATAAAAGACGCTCTATAAAATAATTATTTATTTCCACCCCCAATTTCTCTGAACTCCTCTATAAGCAATATCCCTAACTACATTTTAAATAACGTAAAAAATCACTGGCTCCCGAAAGAAGCATGTGGCCATTAGACAATTACAGTCTATCCTACCTATAGTGCCTTGCCATTTCTCCTGAAGAATTTATATTTACCACTGAGACCTGCATATTATTTTTCCCACCAAACCTGTACAGAATTGTTCATGTCAAGCAGAACCACAAAACTGTTCTGGGAAGGTAGAACAAGCCTGTGGGGAAAATCAATATATAAGTTTTTTTTCCTAGTCATGCTTGTAACTGACTTTTGCCAGCACAACTGTTAATCCAAGGTACGAAGAGTTGTCATATTTAATTGCCAGCAGTACTGGCAGAAGCTCCTACTATCCACACAATTATACATGCAAAATGACATTTTTACTCATACAGCTTAACATTTTGTCAGGGATAGGGATGTAAGCGAGTGGTCGAGTACTCGACTACCTGATAATCCTAAATTTAGTCGAGTACTCAACTACTCTCTTCCCCCCCACCCCCTCGCTGCCTCTGTAAAAGAAGCAGCAAGGCAGGGACAGGAGTTGGTATTGGGAGCAGCCGGCCACCACGAAGCAGTCTTTGCCTGCGGTGGGCTGAGGCTGCTCCAGCAGCAGCCCGTCTGTAGCCAGCCTGGGCCATCGTGGACTGGGGTTGCTGGACCTAGCGCAAGCCAGGATCAAGCAGTCCCAGCTCCCGCAGGTCAGGGACCACTTCAGCTCTTAATTTTAAAGAGCCGCACGGCTCTTTAGTTAGGCATGGCCAGTAGTGTTGTCAACGAGTAGTTGATGACAAGATTAAACTTACCGGTTAATCATACAGACTACTCCCATTCCCCACCTTTTCTGCCTTCCCCATACTATTGCCTCTATCTGATGCAGAAGCACAGGGGAGTGGGGAAGCAGCGGAGGATGCCACAAAGCAGCCTGTGTCCACGGGGAGCTCGGATCCTCCATTGACAGGGCCTGCTGCCAGCCCAGCCTCTGTCTGCGGCCAGCCTAGGGTGCTGCAGAAAGAGGCTGCTTCGCAGGAGCCTCTCCCACCTCCTCCTCACCCCCAGCAGCTTCTGTCTGCTGGAAGCTTGCACTCCTGTGGACAGGGGCTGCTGCTGCTATACCATGTTGCCCCTGTAGTTTTTAAACTGGCTCCCCTCATGGACCAGCTCCCACCTGCCACCCTGCGCTGCTGCCTCTGATACAAAGGCAGCAGCACAGGGTGGCAGGGTGCTCCCTGGGAGCGCACTGGCTGCCGGCCCCACTTCCGGGGACTATCTAATGTCACTGCAAAGATTTCATGAGGTTACATGACTATTCAAATTACCCAAGATCTAACATCCCTAATTAGTACAAAGGATGTATGCAGAAGCTGCCTGGAAGACTAGGACTGTTCCTGCTTGAGGCTGTAGACTATGTAAGTTTATCCCTGGTCTTCTACTTTAAATGTATCCTTTACTGGCAGAAAAGTCTCAGATGGGTAGCTGTGTTAGTCTGTATCTGCAAAAACAATAAGGTGTCCCATGACATCTTAGAGACTAACAGATTTATTAGGGCATAAGCTTATACACAGGACTTCACGTTGTGCTAACTCTACCAGGAAAAACAAAATCTTTTTCTAGTAATAATAAAAGTAAAGAAAAAGTGAACACTACAAACTTTTTTGAAGATAGCCCTGAAACAGAAATCTGGATTTGGCAGGTTGCCATTGAGTTTACGCTCTGAGTAATGAAGTATTATCACATACAGCTGGGGCACTGGGCAGGTGACACAGACTAATCACTACCTTCGCTTAAAAGTCCCTCCTCTCTCTCTACCCACGTGCTCTCAAAAAACATTTCTTCATTAACATCACACAGGATTAATTCTATTCTGAGAAACTGAGCTCTTGTACATTCTAAGACTACATCTACACTATGAGTTTTTCTGGCAGAAAATATGCTAATGAGATTGTGACTTATGCTAATGAGTGCCTCATTAGCATATTTTCTGCCACAAAAACTCAAGGTGTAGACAAAGCCTAAATGAGCTTTTAGGAAGGATCTCTTGGGGAAGGTAAGCATAAAGCAACACATAGATAAACAGCTGCAAAGGGGATAAACACCTCTCAGGCTGGCATCAGTTGTGGATTACAGACTGGGGGGATAATGTGAAAATACACCAAGTCAGATATGTAAGTAGAAACTGGATTATGTAGGGCCTTGAAAGCAAGGACAAGTTTAACTTGTTACTTCACTAGTTCACCATTGCACTGTGTGACTCAAGGGTCATACTAGAGTAGAAAGTCACACTGTGTTTTAAGACATATTAGATAACACATTTTAACAATTTTAAACTGGATCGTATACCTAGTGTAAACAGGGAGAGTCATTTTAACCATGTGTTAACTGGCATTGACCAATATGTTTTAAAGCACAACCTATTTTCCAAGTTTAGACATGATGAAATGCATGGGCTGACATGATCAGCATAGAATCAGAATCATAGAATACTAGGACTGGAAGGGACCTCAAGAGGTCATCGAGTCCAGTTACCTGCCCTCCTGGCAGGACCAAATACTGTCTAGACCATCCCTGATTTTATAACAAGTGATAAAAATAATTTTTGCAGTAATTTGGCCTGGGATGAGATCAGTATTAACAGAGAACCTTAGAACAGAAGGTCATAGTAATCAAGATAGGAGATGATCAAGATACCAAGTAGGGATGAGGGATGCTATAAATAGTTTATTTTAGTTATTGTATAGCAGCAACAATTTTTAGCAGTTAAATAGTTACTAAAATGCTCTCCCCGGGGGGAGGGCCAACAGCCAGTGTGCTCCCAGCCCCACTCCTGGGGAGCTCCCTGCTACCTCGATACAGAGTCACCAGTGCAGGGTGGCGGTGGCTCTCCTGCATGCTCTTCATTTAAAACTCAGATCAGTGGGCTGGGACTAAGCCAGCCTGCCAGTCCACGTTAAAATGCAGAACATATGGTGGGTAGGGGGTGCTGAGGTTAACCAGAACCATTAAGCAATCATTTATCGGTTAAATGGTTTGCTAGCTAGTTGCTAACATCCCTAATATCGACAAGTAATTTGGTTGAAAAAGATTAATTTAAAAAAAAAAAACCATGCATATAATGTTGCGAAAAAGAAACCTGGTTCTAAAGATTACAATATAACATAATGCCAAGAATCTCTTGCACTTTGGCCCCTTTACATTGTTTTGGTGCAGAAAACACCCAAAGTCATACAATATAAAGGTAATTTGACTTTCAAATGCGTTTGCTTTTAAAGGAGTACATCTCATATGTATACGTTATGTAACAGAATCAAGAAGTGTTGAAAAACATTTTTTTATTTTGTAAGATGTATTCTCCTACACTTAAATCTTTTATTCCAAATAACTCATCTTTGAGATAAATACATACCTCTCCAACATACTCCATCACAAATCTCTTTGTTTTAATTTTCTGAAGGGTTTTTACTCCCCAGCCACGGCCATTGTTAGTTCTGAAGATGCAAAGAGAATATGGTGTGCCTTTCTGTACTATCCTGTTAGGGCATTCAGGACCACATCTACAATATGAGTTGCATTCGTAGATAGGTAAGCCTGGTTGGATTTTTAACTGCTTTCGTTTATTATAAGCCAAGAAAAATCCAGCCTCTTCTGGACAACACTTTTCAGCAGGGCAATGAGAGCATTCACAGCCGGTTGTGATTCCATTCATTACATTTATTCCTGGAGCAGGTTTATATTCATTAATATAGTAAAAGTCTAAAGGAGGGCCCTCAAGATCCACAGTGTTTTCTACAAGAATTGTTCCTTTATGGTTCTTTTTCCTGTTGAGTTCTTCCTTCCATCTCTGTAGAGCTATTCTTTGTTTAGCCTTCTTTACAATGTACTGTGCTACTACAGGTTTCAAAGCTTTAATATGGTTTTTCAATATTATTGCTTTGCCTCGCTTCAACCGAGATAAATATTCATTCTTATCTCTGTGGAAGTACTGAAGGAGCAGTGGGCAGTTAAGATTTTTCAAAGGAACCCAGGCATTTGAGGATTCTGGCCATCCTTTCCATTTCACAAGGAAGTACTCTGTGCCCTTGAAATAGAGAAATAAATACAGATTTAGCCACAACACTTCCAACACTAGTTAATCAAAAATACCTTGAAAATAAGTGTGGCAATTCAGTGATACAACTGCTCTGGTATCACATCCATAGTAAATAAGATTAAAAAGAAGCGTGAGTGTCATTAAGAAAGCTGCATAAACTGAAGGGCAGTCAAATTAACATTCTTATCACCCTCTTTATGATGGAGAAATAAAACCACATATGACCATGCAGCTGTGAATTTAGCTAACAATAGAGAATCAAGCCTTTCAAATGCAACGTATGTACTTTGTGCACCATTTGTAAGGACATGGATAACTATAGGCTGTATAATGACTCAGAACACGTAAATAATATTAGCATGGATCAGTTTGTTAGCATTGCCACAGATGGAAACAGTATAAAATAACACCCTACACAGAACAAAAAGAAAATCTAAAGTTTGACCAAAAAACCTCTAATAGTATTATTTGTAATAGTTATTTGAGTCAGCCTAGAGGAATAATATAGTCAAAAACACTTCTTTATGCTATATTTACTACAAAGACTATGTATTGTAAAATGTAATTATTTTGAAAGAAGGGTTTTTTTCCCCCAAGGGAATTGAGCAATAAGGACAAATCTTTAAACCAGGCACACACACTGATCAGCTTCTGCATACACATGGCACCTAATGGGGATCTGGTCATGGATCCAATTGCAACATGTGGCCGTAGCTATTCAATGAACAGACTGCAGTACTATAGAGGAAGAAGTGTCCTTTTAACCGCAAACAAGGGGAAGAGAAGCATCAACGCACACCGAGCTATTATTTGAGCACAGTAAACTTTGCTTTGGCACTGGGGTCAGACATTTTGTGCTTTACTATACGCAGAACCTTCCCTTTCTTACAGTCAGAGCCAAAGAATACTTTATTTAGGCTTCAACATTCCGAAGTATTTTATTCAATGTCAGCAGTAACTTAACAAAAGCCCTATGCTAGCCTAGCACTTTAGACTTTGAGGAAAACTACCACCTCTTACTTCCAAATTTCCAACTGAAATACTGATCAAATTGTTCTGTAAAACTAGATATTTATCTTACCTCGTCTACCTTGTAGTCACATAAATATTCCACCTCATAACTCTTTAGATTCCTGTTGGTGATTCCAAGGGATTTACATGTGAGATTTTCCTTCCTACATAATTCCTGGATGGTCTCAAGTGAAGCTAGACAAGGCACATACCACACTACAATAAGAAAATAGGATTCTTTACTAATTTAATGTTTCAGCTGAGTTGAAAAAAAATTAAATACTTGATTTTTAGTCTGTTTCCAAGCCCCCCAATTGTAATGTGTAAGAATTGTCCACAATATATTTGTAAAATTACTAGCGTAGCAGTCGCAGATAGAATCAATGATACTCCGTTTTAATATAGAATGAAGTCTATAACAGTTCTCTGCCTGAACTTGAGCTCTGCATATACTATGTACACTCATATAATAAAAAAATCTACCTACAACCTACTAATTATTCATACGAAAAGATTCTCAGTAAACAAAACAGAAATAATTTTCCTGACCTTAAGGCACCCTAGCAAAAGTTCATGCTTCTGACTGCAATTATGTAGAAGCCCTTCACTCTTTTACATGGGAGCCAACTAGCTGCAGTTAGTCAAGTGGAATCAACACTCTTGTACTTGCTATGCAACCATGGTGACTGGGATGAGACACGAGGCAAATCCCTCTTCCAGAAAGATCTCTGCTTTCTTGTCAACTGGGCCAAATTTAGGAAGGTTACAATCGACAATGTAACTGTTCTAAAGAGGAAAGGATGCCAACTACGGAACAATGATTACAACAGTTCAGAACTCTGTTAGGAGCGACCGTCCAAAGTTAATAGCAAGTCAAAAGTCTGGAGCCCAAAACAACAGGGTTATATATTTTTTTTTCCTGCTTTAGTAAGAGTCAGGGTGTATTTGACAGTAGCTGAATTTCTTCCTCTGCGTTAGTAGCGGATTGGTCACTTGTGTCCCAACCAAAGCTGCAATGAGCCCATCGCCACTGAAAAGGAAAGGGGGAGGAGAGGCATTGGAGGCTTCCCAGGCTGGGGGACTGTTTCTTAAATTCCAGACTCCCCATATTTTTTTTTCCTGCTTTAGTAAGAGTCAGGGTGTATTTGACAGTAGCTGAATTTCTTCCTCTGCGTTAGTAGCGGATTGGTCACTTGTGTCCCAACCAAAGCTGCAATGAGCCCATCGCCACTGAAAAGGAAAGGGGGAGGAGAGGCATTGGAGGCTTCCCAGGCTGGGGGACTGTTTCTTAAATTCCAGACTCCCCTAGCAA